AATAATAATAAATGGTCAATTCATTTAAGTAGCTACCATTCAATCCTATTTTGGCTTATCCATTTAAAAAAATCCACAATAATAATAATAATAAACGGTCAATTCTTTTAGTATCTACCATTCAATCCTATTTTTGGCTTATTCATTAATAATAATAAATGGTCAATTCGATTAATTATCTACCATTCAATCCTATTTTAGCTTATCAATCATTTAAAAAAACATAATAATAATAATAAATGGATTCGCTTAAGTATTAAGCAAATCCATTTTTGGCCTAAAAAAAATTAATAATTCTTGATTTAGTCAATCCATTTAAATAAAAAAAATACAAACTATAATAAATAAAAGAAGATTGTAAATGATTGTGTGAGTAAATTTTCAGTAAATTTACAAATTTACGCAAATAAATTTTAAAAAGAAAAATATCATATATTTTCCTTATCATTAATAACCATCAAATTCTAATTATAAGAGTAAATTATGGGCCAAGAATATAATTGGACTGACCATTGGGAAGTTTTTGAATGGTTCAAAACTTCAAGTAGTTTGCATCATTTGATTCTTTTAGTTCTTATTGAACTAAAAGATAGTTCAGAGAAATCTCGTCATATCTTAGAAGAGAGTTTAAAAGATCTGGAAGGCGAGACAGAAGAAATATTTGATAACGTACAAAAAAGTCCTAATGAATTTTTAAAAATAATTAGAAAATGTCGTAGCTGTATATTAACACCAAATGATGAAGGTTTAAAACAATCGCTTGTAAATGAAATCCTGCATCAAGAAAAGCTTCCTAATAGTTTGTTGCCTTATTTAATACAAATGACAGACTCCCAGCGAACAGTTTTAAGAACAATGGCACATCAAAATATTCAAGCAAGGGTTGCTTATATCAGAGCCATTTCGAAACCTCACTTAGATCAAATAGACTCTGAGGGCTATCACTATACTAGAAATCCTTATTACAGACAAGTAATGAATGAAAAAAATGAAATAAATGACAAATACAACGAATTATTGGCAAATAACAATGCTGGACGTTCAAATTCCGATCAAGGATCAAGTCACGATGATGAAGGTGAAGGAACTTTACAGAAAAAAGTTGGAAAAATGAATAAACAATTTGAACGTGAGCTTAAGCGAATAAATCAACAACTTTTAGAAAATATGGAGGTGGCACAGTTGATTTAACAACTCGAAAATTAGCAACCAGTGATACTTTATCAGAAGTTAGTGAACGAACAGGAGATTTCTGCGGATCAACTTATGTTGATGATGAATTTATTACTTTCTTAAAAAATGAACTAGGATCTAAAGCAATGAGTGATTTTAAAGAAAATCATTATGATGAGTATCAATATTTAATTCATCATTTCTTTTGTCCAGAAATAAAGTTTGGGTTTGATGGTGATAGTTTTGATGCAACAGACTTGGACATTGGAAGATTCTGTCCAGCGCTTAAGGATTATATAACCAAAGATATTAGTGATAAATTGAGAAAAGGTGAAATGTTAATTAATAAGAACATGTAAACTATTATGAGTTTCATTAATAAGTTAACAAATAATTATACTTTTTATAACAGAGGACTGGTTACTAGAGATTACTTATGAAGATGTTCTTGCAATGTTTGATCCAGTAATAAACCGAATTATTCGTTTAATCCGTAATCAATTAACAGCTTCAAAAGAAAAATGTTCTGCTTTATTTTTGGCTGGAGGTTTTTCAGAATCTCCATATCTTATCTCAAAAATAAAGAATGCATTTGGTTCTACAGGTATTTTGCAGAAATAATCGAGACTACATTTGTTTGTATTTGGTTATTAATAATTGATTATATTAATATGTAATTTTTTTTAAGTATCAATTATTTCCGTGCCTCAAAATCCAATATCTGCTGTTGTACGTGGAGGTGAATATAATTTATTTATTTTTAAAATATTCTGGATTTAGGTTCTATAATGAACTAACTAACACACAATTTAAACAGGGGTTATCTATGGTTTAAACACAAAGGCTATTGCAACACGTCAATTGACATTGAATTATGGTATGCTTGTTTATTTTTTAAAATTCATTAATTTATATAACATATATATATGTTAATATACATATATCATATAGGTGTGCGTGTATATTCAGAGTGGGTAACTGGAGATCCAATAGAAAGAAAAACAGAAGATGACCATATTTACAAATTTGATTGTTTAGCAAAACGTGGAATAGAATATTCACCTACTCAAGGTTTTCCCGGAACATATTATCCTGTTTACGCTCATCAAAAAGGTATAGAATTCGAGGTATATGCTACACCAAGAAATAATCAAAAATTTTGTGATGAACCTGGTATGGAATTGATTGGAAAATTGTATATTAAATTACCTGATGAGTATTCAGTCGATAGACCTGTGGAATTTACTTTGATGTTTGGAGAACTACTTATCAATGCAACTGCACGGTGCAAAAAATCCGGAACACTTTGTAAAGCTACATTTGAATATACTAAACCTGGAGCCTATGGAGTATCTTCTAATAAATAGCTGCTGTTATGAAATTTTGCGTAAAATTTAACAGAGATTCACGGAAATTATAAATTTTTTTTGAAACGATTGTTTTTTGAAGAATCTTCACAGTTATTACAATTTTCTTTAACCTTAATTGTAATTGAGGTGTAAATATATCATTTTTATCACTTGGTAAAATTGATATTTTATTCATTTTAAATATTTTTCATATTATCAATAAAAATAAAAAGGTTAATTGTGGGTTAAATCTCAATTTTTCTTACTAATTAATAATGTCTTCATAAAAACATAAACTTCAACTTATTGCTATTGGTAAACTCGTTCCAACATTCATTATGGTCCATTCACTGTAAAACTGGATTTTTGATAATCGAAAAATGCCTGAAGGAGAAAAACAAAACATGCATATTATTCGTGTTGTTAGTGGAAATAACAATACTAGGTCAGGCCATGTTTGTTTGGAATAAAAATTATTATTTATAAATAAAATAAATATATTATTACCCATTCTTTTTTTATTTATTTATTTACGTGCAAAAAACAATTGAACAAAATGTAGATTTAATCAAAATCATAAAAAACAAGCAGTTAAGAATGCTAATATGGATAATTAATGTAAAAAAAATAATATTAATATTTAATTCCACATGTATAATGTTTTTAACAATAAATTTAATTGATAATCCATGATTTTTGAATTCATTAAACCTTTACCTCTAAGAATATTTATTATAGAGTCCACTCACACTCTCTAATAATAACGGATCCTCTGTAACATACTAAGATTTTATATCAATATTGATATTAATATTAAGCCCGACCTATATGTCCAATATTAATATATATTAATTAATTATTATTGTTGATAACGGACTATCTATAATAAACATTTTTTTCCTAGTTATATTAATACTAATACTAATACTAAGTCAAATGGTCTATTATATATAGAGTGAACTGTATATAGAAAAAAAAAGAATTTTTTATTATTGTAAATGCAATTAAGATTCAATAATAATAAAACTATTGCTATTATTTTCTCTTGGTAAAAACGAACGTTACATATAAAAAACAAATTTTCTATATAAAAATTCCAACAATCCACGAGTGCTAAAGAGTAAATTTTTTTCTTTGCTTAAGTAAAGGAACAAAAGTATATATAGTACAATTTTTCATGCAAAGGTACATTGGTCATTTTTGTGTCAATTTTCCTCCGCTGATCACTATGTAATAGTAAGACTCCGATTTATTCGCGGATCGTCAATTAATAATGCATCAAAGTCCTCACTTTAGCAAGTAAAAATAAAACAGTTGGAAAGTCAAGATTCAAAGAACGATTATAATCACATGATATTAATGTTAAAATATAATTTCGTAGTGGCAAAATTGATGCGAGTAAATAACAAGGAATTTCTTAACAAACTGGCAAATTTGATCATTTAAAGAATAGTAAAATCTGATTTTTTATTTTTGCTAATGAATTTATTTATTTGATAATAAAAATTAAATAAAAATAATTAATAAACTAATTTATTAATTAAAAAAACATTCTATAACCACCCTTGCGCCCACCCTCTGGTTTTTTTTCGAATCGTAACTTGAGATTTGTAATAAATTTCAGTTTCTTTTCCTTTTGATAATATACAAGGAAAATAACACAATTCTACTCCAAAATTATTTATATTGTTGGTCTCCCATGTTCCTTCCATGAAATTGGTATCGACAGCATCCCCCGGTTTATACCATTCAATATTTACTACAGGCTCCTGAATTTTCAAACGAAACCACAGTTTAATACCAGTACGGACCAGTTCATCAGCATTCTTGTAGATATTCTTTTTTCTGTCTTCATCTAGAATTTCACGATATTTGTTCATTTCATTCATAATATCATCTCTGATTGAATTAATAAATTTATCATTAGAATTGTTGAATCCACGCAATGCAAGTGCCTCATATATTTGTTGTCGAATTTTGATAGGAGTCATCTTGGTAACATGATCATCCCCATCTTTTGTTTGAGATAGGTCGGTGGTCCATTTAATCATAGAATTAGTATAATCCATAATTGCTGCTTCCAAATAATTGAAATTTCCGTTTTTGTCTCTGTCTGTTATTTTTTCTATCGCAGAAAGTATTATATCAATTACTATACTTTGAAGGATGAATCCCAAAACATCCTTAAAAGTATCTTCATTTTTTTTAAACCTATATTTTAATAATAAATCATTTGCTGCTTGCTCTTTGATTTTTATGTGTCTTCCTTTGACTTTAATAAAATTCTCTACTAATTTTTTAAATTTAGTGATATCACTTTTTAATTGAAGAGAATTATTTGGGGATTCATCACTCAATCGAACATTAGTAGCATCCCCGAGTGCAGCTTCTAAATTTAAAGCTTTTTTCTCAGTATTCGTTAATTGATTTTTAATATTTTCTAATTCTTTTTTATAAAAGTTGTTTTCTTTGAATAAACGGTCACATTCAAAATCAAGTGATTTTAAATTTTGCGTATTTTCTAAAATTTGAGCATTTGTTTTCTTGTTTTTTTCTAAATTTTGGGCATTTATTTGCGTATTGGTTAAAATAAGGGTATTTATTTTCTTATTTTCTTTCACACTTTCTAAAATCTGAGCATTTGATTGCGTATTTTTGTCATTTATTTTCATATTTTCTTTCATATCTTCTAAAATCCGAGTATTTATTTCCATATTTTCTAAAAGTTGTTGATTTATTCGCTTAAGCTCACGTTCAAATTGTTTATTCATTTTTCCAACTTTTTTCTGTAAAGTTCCTTCACCTTCATCATCGTGACTTGATCCTTGATCGGAATTTGAACGTCCAGCATTGTTATTTGCCAATAATTCGTTGTATTTGTCATTTATTTCATTTTTTTCATTCATTACTTGTCTGTAATAAGGATTTCTAGTATAGTGATAGCCCTCAGAGTCTATTTGATCTAAGTGAGGTTTCGAAATGGCTCTGATATAAGCAACCCTTGCTTGAATATTTTGATGTGCCATTGTTCTTAAAACTGTTCGCTGGGAGTCTGTCATTTGTATTAAATAAGGCAACAAACTATTAGGAAGCTTTTCTTGATGCAGGATTTCATTTACAAGCGATTGTTTTAAACCTTCATCATTTGGTGTTAATATACAGCTACGACATTTTCTAATTATTTTTAAAAATTCATTAGGACTTTTTTGTACGTTATCAAATATTTCTTCTGTCTCGCCTTCCAGATCTTTTAAACTCTCTTCTAAGATATGACGAGATTTCTCTGAACTATCTTTTAGTTCAATAAGAACTAAAAGAATCAAATGATGCAAACTACTTGAAGTTTTGAACCATTCAAAAACTTCCCAATGGTCAGTCCAATTATATTCTTGGCCCATAATTTACTCTTATAATTAGAATTTGATGGTTATTAATGATAAGGAAAATATATGATATTTTTCTTTTTAAAATTTATTTGCGTAAATTTGTAAATTTACTGAAAATTTACTCACACAATCATTTACAATCTTCTTTTATTTATTATAGTTTGTATTTTTTTTATTTAAATGGATTGACTAAATCAAGAATTATTAATTTTTTTTAGGCCAAAAATGGATTTGCTTAATACTTAAGCGAATCCATTTATTATTATTATTATGTTTTTTTAAATGATTGATAAGCTAAAATAGGATTGAATGGTAGATAATTAATCGAATTGACCATTTATTATTATTAATGAATAAGCCAAAAATAGGATTGAATGGTAGATACTAAAAGAATTGACCGTTTATTATTATTATTATTGTGGATTTTTTTAAATGGATAAGCCAAAATAGGATTGAATGGTAGCTACTTAAATGAATTGACCATTTATTATTATTACAGATTTTTTTAAATGATTGATAAGCCAAAATGTGATTGAATGGTAATAGTAACAACTTTAAACGGATTGACCATTTAAATTTAAAATTGAACAACCATTTCCGTTTTTGAATTAATTGATATTAATAAAGGTGGTTTATTAGACTTTATAAATTATTCTTGTATTTTTTATTTTTTTTTTAGATCAAAGAAAAAAAAAGAAAATTTATACAAAGATGAGCCATCCTGTAGTAGTTGCTATTGGTATTTAATCAAAAGATGAATGTATGAAATTAATTTTGTTTTATCTAAAAAACTTATTCTTTGTAAATTTTAGATTTTGGAACGACTTATTCCGGTTAGTAAATTAGCAAACATGAATTTAGGTTTAGCAGCAATAAAATAAAATCGTGGACTATAATTTAATTCTTAATTTTTCAGGTTTCGCTTATGCTCACATTGCCAGACCAGCAGACATTACTAGTCATGATTCATGGTAAACATATAATAACAAAAATTACTACTAATAACTAACAAAGCAGTATTTAAATATACATAAATATATTATTTTTGTACTTTTTGACAGGCCAGGTCAAAATAAGACACGATTCAAAGCTCCAAAAAATAATACAGTTTTACAATACGATAATTCATACGATAAAGTCATAGCATGGGGTTATCAAGCGTTGGCCCGAGAACCTAGGAGAAGAAGAAATAATGCAGTAGAACCCGTATCAAAACCTGTAGAATATTTTAAATTACTTCTTAAATATGACTCAAAAAGATCAGATAAAATACGCATGCCTGCAGGACTAGATTATCGTAAAGCAATTGCTGATTATCTAAAAGCCATGAAACCAGTTAATAGTTTTGAAATAATTCTATTCTCCATAAAACATAATTATATCATTTCATCTCATTAATTTTTTTGAACTTCAGTTAATTTCAGAAACTATTACAAAACGTTGGCCTACTGTAAGCTTTCCTAATCAAGTTAGATTAGTCTTTACAGTTCCAGCCGAGTGGTAAGGATTTAAACAGAGTCATGATAGTCATAATAATGATATTGATCTTGTATGAAATTACTAAATCTTTAGGGGTCCAGGGACTATCGGAGTATTACAAGAGTGTATATATGCCGCTGGTTATTTAGAAAA